TTTTGTTTTTTTTTCTCTCACTCTACAAAAAGTCCTTTAGCCTGAGAATGGTGTTGCCGAAGAGGGAAGACAAGCTCTGCTCTGCTGCCTGCCGCTGTGCTCACTGGTGAGTTCCTGCTACAGCTGTAAATCACAGAATCACAGAATGTTCGGGGTTGGAAGTGACCTCTGTGGGTCATCTAGTCCGACCACTCTGCCGAAGCAGGGTCACCTACAGCAGGCTGCACAGGACCTTGTCCAGGTGGGTCTTGAATATCTCCAGAGAAGGAGACTCCACAACCTCCCTGGGCAGCCTGTTCCAGTGCTCCGTCACCCTCAGAGGGAAGAAGTTCTTCCTCATGTTCAGACGGAACTTCCTGTGCCTCAGTTAGTGCCCATTGCCCCTTGTCCTGTCAATGGGCACCACTGAAAAGAGCTTGGCCCCATCCTCCGGGAAGGAGAAAACTCCCTCCACCTTCTGACCACACCCCAGGACACCACTGGCGTTCTTGGCAACCAGACACACTGCTGGCTCATGGTAAACTTGTCGTCCACCAGCACACCCGAGTCCCTCTCCACAGAGCTGCTCTCCAGCAGGTCCGCCCCAAGCCTGTACTGATGCCTGGGGTTGTTCTTCCCCAGATGCAGGACCCTGCATTTGCCTTTGTTGAACCTTATCAGGCTCCTCTCTGCCCAATAATTATCTGCCTGTCCAGGTCACGCTGAATGACAGCACAGCCTGCTAGGGCTACAAGGATGGTGAGGGGACTGGAACATCTCTCCTACGAGGAGAGGCTGAGGGAGCTGGGCTTGTTCAGCCTGAAGAAAAGAAGGCTGAGAGGGGATCTTATGAATGCCAATAAATATCTCCAGGGTGGGTGTCAGGAGGATGGGGTCAGATTCTTTTCAGTGGTGCCCAGTGACAGGACAAGGGGCAATGGGCACAAACTGAGGCACAGGAAGTTCCGTCTGAACATGAGGAAGATCTTCCCTCTGAGGGTGACGGAGCCCTGGAACAGGCTGCCCAGGGAGGTTGTGGAGTCTCCTTCTCTGGAGATATTCAAGACCCACCTGGACAAGGTCCTGTGCAGCCTGCTGTAGGTGACCCTGCTTCGGCAGAGTGGGTTGGACTAGATGATCCCTAGAGGTCCCTTCCAACCCCTACCATTCTGTGATTCGGTGACATAACTGCAGTTGCCAGGTTTTTATTTATTTACTTCAGAAATCACAGGTCCCAGAGTCACCATAATTCTGAACACTAAATAAACTTCTACCAAAGGGGAAAAAGTAATATGCCCACAGACGCAGCGTCTTATCTGCTTTTCTGGTAGGGGCAGAAACAAGTCTTTCCTCCCCGAGGGAGACATTCCATTCTCGAAAAGTGATTGCTTTGAGGGCAGTGACAGAGGTGAGCCCTGCCCTGTATGTAAAATTTAATCTCGCATAACCTTCAGAGATAAAGAGGAAGAGATACGGTTAAAATGGTGCACATGCTATAGTGTTTTTGGCAATAAACACTCTCTTTTCATCTGCAGAACTGTAGGCTCCAATGAAGCATTACATAATACACAGCAAAAGGTTATAGTTTACAATTAATAAAAGCTCTACTCGGGTCTGTGCTGTTAGATCAAGGTTGTGATAAAAGTGTTTGTGGGAAAATATACAGAGAACAGGCATGTTTTTAAAATATGACAGGATGTTTTTGGACTGGCATGTTAAGACTAAATCACGGCGGCGCTGCAGATCTGTCGAAAGAAGGGCAGGCACGAAGTTTTCAGTGATGAGGGTTTCTGACTTCTCCCCGTGGGTGCCCTTGAGCTGCTGGAGAGAAGACAGCTCCCCTTCATTTTGCAGCTGTCAGCTGACGTGCTGCAGATGGCCAGCTACCTATTCAACTCCACCACGTTTCACTGGCTCATCCAAAATGTAAGGAAAGTAAAAGCCTCAGCTTCCCCGTGCTTCTTGGCTTATATGCAGGGAGGTTCCCCACTGACACCCAGAATCAACCAGTTCAGTCTCCATCATCAACTTACTGGGCCCAGACTGGTCTATGCCTTCTCCCATCTTCTGGGTGCTGGAGGGCTTCTTTCACCAGGTGACAATCTTGCTGGCTTCTCTAGACTGTTCTTAGTCTAAACCACTTGCCTTTTTTCTGCTTTCTCAGAAAACAGGAAAGGTCAGTACACTAGGGGAGTTGAGTTTTCAAAAGTCATAGTGCACTTCATCAAGCTTCTATTTAAAGAATGAGTTGTGTGGTTAAACACAAGCTTGAAAGTTCA